TCTTAACACTTAACTTCTAAGAACCAGAAAGTGGGTATCAAACTGGTGACTCAACAAGCCGAGTGCATTTGGGGAGAAAATAATAATAATAAACCTAAAAAAAAAAAGGGCCCGGAACTTAACGGAAGTTGGTAAAAGCTAACGTCAAAACAGAGTTTTTTAAGTAAAATACATCTTTGCCTTGAAGAATTACTGGGATACGCATGTCTGATTGGATATCGAAACGTTTTAATCAAATAATTTATATGAACAGTTTAAAATTTCAAATTTGTTTACAATAATTTGTAAAAAAGAAAGTAAATCAGGTTAATTCAGATCAAAAGTTTTGGTGTGTTGCTTACAGGTTAAAAAACTCGTACCCTACAAAGTTTGGCCAATTGGCTTCTAATATGTGTTAGTAATCGATATTTCCGGTTTTTTTCGAGCTACCAGAAATATTGGTTTTGTTTAGTTATTTGAGTAGTATTTTAGAAATATATTGTAAAATTGAGTTGGGTATTATTTAAGAATATAATTTAAAAAAATGTGTTAGAGAGTATTTAATTGGGTATTATTACAAAAATATAATTTGATTTTGATAAATTATTAGAATAGTATATTAGAAAATTAGAATTGAATAAATTGTAGAAAATTTTGGTATATTTTTTATAAAGGATTTATTGTTAGAATTCTTGGGGGGGAGAGGGGTGATCGTGGTCGGACCTGCTAGCCTCGGTTTGTCAGAGGAACCGAAAGATAGTGGTGTTTCTTAAGTCTTAAACGGCAAAAGAATGTGTTTTTAAGTGGTGTTTTTGAATGCAGGTGAAAAAGGGTGTTATGGTGGTTGTAACGTGGAAGAGGGTGGTGGTTTTTGTTGTAATTTTTTAAGAAGAAATGTGGAAGAGGGTGGTGGTCACTGGTTCTAATCTTTAAAGAAGAAGGGAAAGTCGTGGTTATGAAAGTAAAAGCCATAGATAAACTGAAGAAGGAGATAAAAGAGAAAGAAGGGGAGAAAAAAAGTAAACTGCAACGTTGCCTAAATCAGATTAGTTAGGAATCAAAATTTGATTCCCTAAATAATATGTTAACACGTTTTTAAAAATCTGACTAAAAAAATTAATAAAATACTAAACCAACGCATTATCTTAACTTAAGATTTAACCCAATACATAAAAAAGAATTTGTATAAACCACTTCCGAAATTCGATAATTTTGAAACTAGTTATAATAATAATTTTTTTTAAATAATTTAAAAATATCAATTTTTGGAATGGGTAGAAAAAAATATACAGGATTCTTGAAATACATAGATGGCTTTTTTATTGGAGTAAACGACTTTTTCCCAACTCAAGGTTTGCTTATTTTGCTTTTTTGACTAAAAAAGTTTTAAAATACTACTTATTCACCAAAGTTTATATTCCATTAATATAAAATATACTTACTTTCTAAGTGATGTTAAGCGAGTTATCAGAAGCCAGGGTAAGAGAGGTTTTGTATAGTGGAGGCCGATGGATTGAATGGTGGTTACCAATTAAATATTCGTCGTCGAAATCAACTGCAAATTAGCTGAGAACAAGAAATCCTAGCTTTGTGGTGATTAGTAATCACGAGAAATCAGATGTCGAAGTAAGAAGAGTTTTAAAAGAAGAGAACCGAGGTTCAAATGATAGTAACCGAGAGAATTTTCATTGTCAAAATCTGTCAAAATGGCTTTGAGTAGTAATAAATATTTTTGGGTGGAAAAGTGGTATATCAAAATTTGTTGGGTGAGAGAGTGCCGTTAAGGCAAACGTGGGAAAATTGCTTTTACTTTTTATTGTTCACAGTTGTACTTTGACTAGTCAATTACCTATTGTAAAAACCACGTCAAATGCAGTTAACATAAAACCGTAAACTGGGCACCAACACTTTCTGCTTCATTCACTTCCTGGGTAACATACTAAAGCCTTCAATTCCACCATCATGATCTCTGTAGTCTCCCAACTGAACCACGCCTGGTAAATTCAAGAACTAGTCTTTGTTGCCATAAATTTTCACTGTAGTATTCTTCACAGTTTCTAATATTCCACAATCCACAGCTCCCTCCACCAACTGAACTAAGCAGGTAAAATCTCACATCACAATCAAGAACTAGTTTTGTTTCTATCAATTTCACATTCAATTCCCAGTTTCTGAATTCCACAATCCACACCTCCTCCACGAACTGAACTACTAAGCCATGAAAATCTCACATCACAATGAGAACTAGTTTTTGTTTCTCATCATTTCACATTCAGTTTATCTTCAAGAAAAGTTTTTGTTTCTATCATTTCACATTCAATTTACCTCTTGTATTTCATTGATACAATAGAATTTGAGATGAGTTTGATCCTTTCCAATAAAACCTTTTTGAATAGAATGATTACCCTCTCTTATAAAACATAGGCTAAGCTACTAAGTCACACCTCCCTCCACGGACTGAGCTACTAAGCCATGTAAAATCTCACATCACAATCAGGAACTAGTTTTCCTTTCTATCAATTTCACATTCATTTACCTCGATATTTCATTTATACGATAGAATTTTAGATGTCTGACTCTTCTCCAATAGACGTTGTTGAATGGAAGGATTACCCTCTTATAAACCATAGGTTTGAGCGTGTCTAGTTGGTGTAGAACTTTAGCCAGGTCAAACACCATATTTATGATATGTGTAGTTGTGTTTGTGTTTGGTTGAATATTAGCTTCTTCGTTCAATTTGCATTTGTTAGAAAACTGGCTTCTCTGTGTGTCTGAATCGTTATTTTTACATACCAATAACAAAGGCATTGTCAATGAACTTCAATTCCTTGATTTAGAGTACATTTTAACTTGTGAAAGTGCACTATTGGATTGACTCTCTCGTTTCTTTTAATTAATTTCTGTTTTATGGTTTTGATAATTAATTTCTCTGTTCTATTGTTTTTGTATGGTTTCTTTGACACTTCAAAATTTAAATTACCAGAAATGCATACTAGAGAATCTACTAAGAATTAATCAGATGTTGTACTAAGAAACAACATGATAAAGTGTTTCTTAGATTTGTGGGCACTATTCTATATAGGAGACAAGTTCCTGCATCTAAATTGTCAAATTTATTCGAGATAAATATTTCAATTTGATACTGAGAGAAAGCCATTTGAATTATGAGTATTATTTTAAAAACATATATGAATTCTGAAATTGTTTTGTAAATAAGGCTAGCAATCCCTGGATTTAAAAATCGTTTTCGTTACATTTTGCAGAATTAACTGATGGATAGTTGTCGTTAATACGGTTCCAATGGGTAACAAGGCTGGTGTTCTTCGTCCCAGTTGTTTTGATTCATGCGCGGCCTATTACTTTTGTTCCAGATGCAATACTCATATTACTTTGAGGGAAGACATGATGGTAATATCTCCCTCTTTCACTCTTTCTGATATTCAAAAGCTGCGCTTAAACATGTATGGAACTTCTCTGTGCAATCTGCATATTGTTAAACCATTAGCTTGATTTATGCATGTGTATGAATTGTACTTTTGACTTTGTTTTTCAAGTGAATTTTGCAGAATGATCAGGATTATGAGATTTTGCATATTGTTGAACATTAGCTTGATTTATGCGTGTGTATGAATTGTACTTTTGACTTTTTTTTTCCAGTGAATTTGCATAATGACAGGATTGCGAGATTATCACTTTAGAGGCGCATAAGTGCTTATTCAGATTCTGTAAATCAGCACAGAATACCATCATCACATGAATCACAAACTTCTCTTTTTTCATGTTAACTTGAGCAGCAACCGATCAGAGGATCGTTTTTCTTCACGGGTAAAACTGTGAGAGGGTATTCTGTATTTGCAATATGGATCTAGGTACAGAGTTTTGAGAAATTCTATACATTTTCCTTGTCTAGAAATACTTTCTTTGTCCGGGTTTGTGTTAATATTATTGCAACTTAATTTTTCATCTTCAGGTTCATCTGTCAAACCAAGATGATATACGCTTAGAGGGAATAGTCTTCCTTATAAGTACCTGTAACTGGATAAAGATTTTAGTGATTTGATTTCTAATAAAAAAAAAAAAAAAAAAAAAAATCTTTTATGCTGGTCTGTGCTGCTGTAGTGGGAGGCCCTAAACAATTACCACCCCACCGACACCCACCTCCACTACTAACTTGGGACTGATGAACATAAACTAACTTGCCAAAATTATACTGATGTTGTTCACTTGTATAAGTTGCCAAGGAGGAAAGATGTAGTTTAACTACCATTTGGGTAGCTAGATTCTTTTTCACTGTTAGTGCATCAAAGGTTCTCATGAAATGAGATGAGAACTGTATGTCTGTGTGTGAATTTGGTTCTTTGCAAACCAATTGTAATTCCCAGAAAAGTCATTTTGAAGATTATCAAACTCTTCCTAGTCTTTATTGTTCTTCATGTCAACGGATGAAGTCACATGAAGTATATTATTGGGATGAAACTCTTGAGTTCTTGATTTTATCCCTGGTAGGAACTAGGAACCCTAACCAGAGAATAAAATCCCATCATTCAGAAGGAATAGTCCAGCAAGATGCAGCAACAAGAAATTCCATCCCCATTGGCAGGAATCAATCACAGCAAGCATATAACTTTCGAAAAAAAGAGTTTTATGGGTCAAAGAAATCAATGGGCTTGTTAGTACATTTACATTGATTACTAATTGTCCAACAATAAACTATAAATCAAATGGCTGTCCTTCAGAAAAAATGCTTTGAAGAACTTTTGTGACAAGAAATTCCCCTTCAATCTTACCTCTAACAAAACACTATTAACCAAATACAATAATGCTCTGTACAGAGACAAATGGGATCAAGATGATGGATTACAACCAAAGAAAAAAAGAAGAGGAATACTATCAAGCATGTGCGAATATAACTTCTAAAATGCTTGAAAAAAAAAAATGGTTTCTTGCTTCATACATAGTGCACCCCATTAGCAAAATCATAATAGCGTTTAAAGATAACAAAGGCAAGCTTCATCTTCCGATTTGCACAAAACTAAAGCATAAATTTCTTCAAGAAAATTAATATATGATTCGAACCCTAGAAATGGATAAATAACAGAAACAAGTGGTTTCATTCAACATTTCATAACCAACAAAATCCTAACTTCAAATCCGTCACTTTTTTCCCCCTACACATCCATCACAAAACAAAGTCCTAAACCAACAATAAATACACCTACTCATATAACTAACTAAGCCTTCTTGGGGGACTTGGTGGCCTTGGATGGAGACTTGGGTTCTTTGCTGGCAGCCTTCTCTGTCTTCTTTGGTAACAATACCGGGTTAATGTTCGGCAACACACCACCATGAGCTATGGTCACACCAGCCAGCAACTTTCCAAGCTCCTCATCGTTCCTCACGGCCAAAAGCACGTGCCTTGGAATAATTCTGTTCTTTTTGTTGTCACGTGCCGCGTTTCCTGCCAACTCCAGAACCTGCTCAGATTCAAAGGCGTTAAGTTATGGTTTAATTTACAATTAAGTCCCAGATTAAGCGAGATCCAATCGGAGAAATTTTTACCTCAGCTGCTAGGTACTCAAGCACAGCAGCCATGTAAACTGGAGCCCCGGTTCCGACCCGCTGCGAGTATCTACCTTTCTTTAAGTAACGCCCGATTCTACCAACGGGAAACTGGAGTCCGGCTTTCACAGACCTTGAAACTGGCTTCTTCTTGGGGCCACCTCCCTTCCTTCCTCCTGCTCCTTTCTTCACTTTGCCTCCTGTATCCATGACTCAACCCCTACCGCTAAGACTACAAATACTAATGTTGATGAAAAATTAGATAACACGTTGCTATGATTTGAGAGGATTTGGGGTTTTCTTATGAGGAGATGGGTTTTATAGAGCAGTGTAAAGAGTGAACGGGTATGGGAGTGGAGAGATCTGTACCTTTGGATTGGGTTATAATGGACGGCTGTCGATGGTTTGGTTGCGATCCCTGTCATTTAAAATGGACCAATAGTTAAAGAGCATCGATTTTGAATTTTCATTACGTTGTAATGGGCGCCATCCTGAATTGATTTCAATCTCCCGCTTATTTGTTTGGATGCTGAAAATATTTTTAAGCGAGTGTTTGTTTGCTAGATTAAGAGTTAAAGCATGTGGAACAATAAATTGTCATATACCTCCCTCCACCAAACTGAACTCTCACATCACATCAAGAACTAGTCTTTGTTTCTATCAATTTCACATTCAATTCCCAGTTTCTGATATTCCACAATCCACACCTCCCTCCACGAACTGAACTACTAAGCCATGTAAATCTCACATCACAATCAAGAACTAGTTTTTTGTTTCTATCAATTTCACATTCAGTTTATCTTCAAGAACTAGTTTTTGTTTCTATCAATTCCACATTCAATTTCCTCTTGTTATTTCATTGATACATAGATTTTGAGATAGTTGACTCCTTTCTCAATAACCTTTTGAATAAATGATTACCCTCTCTTATAAACCATAGGCTGAGCTACTAAGTCACACCTCCTCCACGAACTGACTACTAAGCCATGTAAAATCTCACATCACAATCAGGAACTAGTTTTCCTTTCTATCATTTCACATTCATTACTCACTATTGTCATCATTTCACATTCATTACTCGTATTTCATTTTACGATAGAATTTTAGATAGTTTGACTCTTCTCCCAATAGCCTTGTTGAATGGAAGGATTACCCTCTCTTATAAACCATAGGTTTGAGCGTATCTAGTTGGTGTAGAACTTTATCAATACACACCATATTTATGATATGTGTAGTTGGTGTTTTGTGTTTGGTTATATTAGCTTCTTCGTTCAATTTGCATTTGTTAGAAAACTGGCTTCTCTTGGTGTCTGAATCGTTATTTTTACATACAATAACAAAGGCATTGTCAATGAACTTCAATTCCTTGATTTAGAGTACATTTAACTTGTGAAAGTGCACTATTGGATTGACTCTTCGTTTCTTTATAATTAATTTCTTTTTTATGGTTTCTTGATAATTAATTTCTCTGTTCTATTGTTTTGTATGGTTTCTTTGACACTTCAAATTTAATTTATTCACCCAGAATGCATACTAGGAAATCTACTAAGAATTAATCAGACGTTGTACTTCAAAGAAACACACATGATCATAAAGTGTTTCTCTAGATTTGTGGGCTCTATTTCTATACATGGAGACCAATTTCTCTGCAACAAACTGTCAATTTATTTGAGATAAATATTTTCAATTTGATACTGAGAGAAAGCCATTTGAATTATGAGTTTTATAAAACATATATGAATTTGAACTTGTTTTATAAATAAGGCTAGCAATCCCTGGTTTAAAAATCGTTTTCGTTACATTTTCAGAATTAACTGCATGGATAGTTGTCGTTAATACGTTCCAATGGGTAACAAGGCTGGGGTTCTTCGTCCCAGTTGTTTTGATTCAGCCGGCCTTTACTTGTTCCAGATGCAATACTCATATTACTTTGAGGGAAGACATGATGGTAATATCTCCCTCTTTCACTCTTTCTGATATTCAAAAGCTGCGCTTAAACATGTGGAACTCTCTGTGACAATCTGCATATTGTAACCATTAGCTTGATTTTGCTGTGTATGAATTGTACTTTTGTGACTTTTTTTTCAAGTGATTTTGCAGAATGATCAGGATTAATATTTTGCATATTGTTGAACCATTAGCTTGATTTATGCGTGTGTATGAATTGTACTTTTGATTTTTTTTTTCCAGTGAATTTTGCATAATGATCAGGATTGCGAGATTATACCTTTAGAGGCGCATAAGTGCTTATTCAGATTCTGTAAATCAGCACAGAATACCATCCACATGAATCACAAACTTTCTTTTTTCATGTTTTAACTTGAGCAGCAACCGATCAGAGGATCTTTTTCTTCCACGGGAAAACTTGAAGGGTATTCTGTATTTGCAATAGGATCTAGGTAAGAGTTTTGAGAAATTCTATACATTTTTCCTTGTCTAGAAAATACTTTTTTTGTCCGTGTTTGTGTTAAAATTATTGACTTAATTTTTCATCTTCAGTTCATCTCAAACCAGATGATATACCTTAGAGGGAATGTCTTCCTTTATAAGTACCTGTAACTGGATTAAAGATTTAGTGATTTGATTTCTAATAAAAAAAAAAAAAAAATCTTTTATGCTGGTCTTTCTGCGTTGTGGGAGGCCTAAACACATCACCACCCCCACCGACACCCCTCCACTACTAACTTGGGACTGATGACCATAAACTCATTTGCCAAAATTATACTGATGTGTTCACTCCTGTATAAGTTGCCAGAGAGGAAAGATGTAGTTTAACTACCTTTAAACCCTTTAAATTTGTTAATTTAATTAAATACCCTTAAATATTTTTTTAAAAATTACAAAAACACCCCAACAATCCACATTTACCAGATTCCGGCCATGGCGCACTATCGGCTGAATCTGGCCGGTAGTGCGCCGATCTAGCCTTTTCCGGCCAAATCCACGGTGGATCTGGCCGGAAAAGGCCAGATCTTTGGCCGTAACAGTCGGTCACGACGGCCAACAAACGGTCGTCGTTGACCATCAACGACGACCGTTTGTTGGCCGTCGTTGGGAGCAAATACGGCCAGATCTGGCCGTAGATCTAGCCTTTGTCGGTGGATCTGGCCGAAAAAGGCCATAGCGGCGCATGACCGACAAGATCCAGCCGGTCATGCGCCGATAAGACGACTCTGGCCACCTCCGGTGTTGGTGGCCGGCTGGGGGTATTTGAGGGTGAGTTAGGGGTATTTTTGTTAACTTTTAATGTTTTATTATAGGGGGTATTTTATAAATAAACAAACATATGGGGCATTTTAAAATTTATAAATCCTACCTCGTAATACCCGTCCAATTCAACTTTTTTTTTTAACTTTTTTCAAAAAACTTTTCCCAAAACCCCTAAATTTTGATCCAAACGAAGCCATGGTTTTGTTCAGTTATTTTGAGTAGTATTTTAAAAATATTATTGTAAAATTGAGTTGGGTTATTATTTTAAGAATATGATTTAAAAAAATTTGTTTAGTAGAGTATTTAATTGGGTTATTATTACGAGAATATAATTTTATGTTTGATAAATTATTTAGAATAGTATATTATAAATTTAGAATTGAATAAATTGTAGAAAATTGTTTGGTATATTTTTTTATAAAGGATTTATTGATAGAATTCTTTGTGGGGGGAGAGGGGGTATCGTGGTCGTACCTATTGGCCTCGGTTTGTCGGAGGGAACCGAAAGATAATGGTGTTTCTTAAGTCTTAAGCGACAGAAGAAGGTGTTTTTGAATGCAGGTGGAAAAGGGTGTTATGGTGGTTGTAACGTGAAAGAGGGTGGCGGTTTCTGTTGTAATTTTTGAAGAAGAAATGTGGAAGAGGGTGGTGGTCACTGGTTCTGATCTTCGAGGAAGAAGGTGAAAGTAGTGGTATATGAAGATGAAACCATAAATAAACCGAAAGAGATAAAAGAAGAACGAAGGGAAAAAAAAAAGTAAACTGCAACGTCGCCTAAATCAGATTAGTTAGGAATCAAAATTTGATTCCTTGAATAATATGTTAAAAGGCCTATTTTAAAAATCTGACTAAAAAAATTAATAAAATACTAAACCAAACACGCATTATCCTTAACTTAAGATTTAACCCAAATACATAAAAAAGAATTTGATAAACCACTTCCGAAATTCGATTAATTTTGAAACTAGTTATAATAATAAGTTTTTTTTAAATAATTTAAAAATATCAATTATTTTGGAATGGGTAGAATAACAAAATATACTCATACAGGATTCTTGAAATACCATCGATGGCTTTTTTATTGGAGTAAACGACTTTTTCCCAACTCAAGGTTTGCCTTAATTTTGCTTTTTTGACTAAAAAAGTTTTAAAATACTACTTATTCACCCAAAGTTTATATTCCATTAATACCTAAAATATACTTTACTTTCTAAGTTGATGTTAAGCGAGTTATCAGAAGCCAGGGTAAGAGAGGTTTTGTATAGTGGAGGCCGATGGATTGAATGGTGGTTACCAATTAAATATTCGTCGTCGAAATCAACTGCAAATTAGCTGAGAACAAGAAATCCTAGCTTTGTGGTGATTAGTAATCAACGAGAAATCAGATGTCGAAGTAAGAAGAGTTTTATAAAGAAGAGACCGAAGGTTCAAATGATAGTAACCGAGAGAATTTTCATTGTCAAAATCTGTCAAAATTGGCTTTGAGTAGTAATAAAATATTAATTTTGGGTGGAAAAGTGGTATATCAAAATTTGTTGGGTGAGAGAGTGCCGTTAAGGCAAACGTGGGAAAATTGCTTTTACTTTTTATTGTTCACAGTTGTACTTTGACTAGTCAATTACCTATTGTAAAAACCACGTCATAATGCAGTTAAAACATAAAACCGTAAACTGAAGCACCAACACTTTCTGCTTCATTCACTTCCTCTGGGTAACATACTAAAGCCTTCAATTCCACCATCATGATCTCTGTAGTCTCTCCAACTGAACCACGCCTGGTAAATCTCAAGAACTAGTCTTTGTTGCCATAAATTTTCACTGTAGTATTCTTCACAGTTTCTAATATTCCCACTCCACACCTCCCCCTCCACCAACTGAAAATCTCACATCACAATCAAGAACTAGTCTTTGTTTCTATCAATTCACATTCAATTCCCAGTTTCTGATATTCCACAATCCACACCTCCCTCCACGAACTGAACTACTAAGCCATGTAAATCTCACACACAATCAGAACTAGTTTTTGTTTCTATCAATTTCACATTCAATTTATCTTCAAGAACTAGTTTTTGTTTCTATCAATTCCACATT